TATCTGTATTGCTACTTAACATTATTATCTCAAGAACTAAAGGTTTTTGTTCTGACACTAGTATCAATTTCTTACACATCAGTGGCATTAATACCTCAAGTGATCTCTGTTCTTATGCGCATTGATACAAATGATAAAAAAGCTTTGTCCTCTTTTGTTCTATCTGGAAAAAGTGGGAATTAAACTGAAGGTTATGAGTGTGTGTGAGATACCACTGCCTCCGACTCATTTCTCAACACCAGACGGAGGCAAACGACATTAATTGAACCGAGGTTTGCAGAGACTTTAAAGATCTGATCCCTTGAATATTCTGTCTTGCGTTTGTCCCAAGTTAAAGGACAACTCACCCTCAACTCCACTTTTTTTTGCTGATAAACGATTTAAATGAGTGTCCAATAGTGTTGTCTACATATCCTGGTCATAGTTTTTTCACTTTGGTGCAAATTAGTTGAAATTTAAACTTTCTGCCTAAAACCGTCTGTGTGGCGCCATCTGCTGGCGACCTGTATTACTACATTTGAATTTTGAATCTGGCGCCAACACTGGCACAGAAGTTAGACCTGACGTCTGCAAGTTGGACCTGACGTCAGCAGCCCCCCGCCCAGAGCAATATAAACGGCCCAGTCTCGTTCACGCCCCCTTCAGTCCTCCAGGCTACGCCCAGTTAGAGGAAGATTTGAACAGGAAATGTGAGTGACGTAAGCTCCGAGGAGCGGGGGTGAGAACCACTTTAATTTTGTGAAGTTCAAAACCAAAAGAGGTTCGACCTGACCATTTGTATAAAAAATACCAAACAAACTGGGGACATCTGGAGAGGATACATTCATAGAGTTAGCCTGGTCGTACCACACCATAGTACAAATTACATTTTGTACTAAGGTCTGGAGGTGCTCAAATTGTAGGGCTGAAACAGCTAATCGATTATTGAAATAGTCGACAACTATTTTAGTAATCGATTAATCGTTTTCTGGTTCACACGGACTCAAATAGAGCAAAAATGACATGAAAATGTAGTATTGTTGATTAAAACCGACTTTGTTTTTATAATTTCATGAATATCTGTCTGTCTCATCCAATCAGATAGCAGAATTAGCACAAAGAGCCTGTTACAAACATTTACTTTAAGTTTACGCCATCAATACGTCCTCGAGTGTTGCCACTTTAGCTTTTTGTGATGAAAAAATAAATGTTTTCTACACAATTCACAGCCAAGCGATTACTCAATTAATCGTAAAAATAATCAATAGATTAATCGATTACAAAATAATCGTTAGTTGCAGCTCTACTCAATTGAGCTCCATCAACAGGTGGGAGGGGTTAACTCCTTTTTGGATCTGAGTTTACCGTCACGGTAAACTCAGATCACGTTTGTAATGCGACCGAGTGAATGTAATGTCATGTTTGTCATGCGACCGAGTGAGACGTTAGCATTTAGCATTTAGCCTAGCGATCTCCTTTGCTGCTAACGGAGCCCGTGGGGAGTAGCGCCACAATCTTTGCCAGCAATGACTTTTGCTAAACATTCCTCTTGCTCCAGCTTCAATTTCTTGATAGAACCAGACCGGATTACTTTACTTTACTCGCATTCTTCGCCATTGCCAAACTGCAACCAGCCCGTTTGCCGCAAACTCTTCACGTCACCCACATCTAACTACAACATCCGCCTCGCGCACTCGCTGATCGGTCGTATGAAATTCTACTGATGTAATCGCAAACACAGGGACGAGACCCAGACGTTACATGCAGCGAAATGATTATTACGGATGTACGGATGGCTAAGGCCAGGCTAACAGAGTGTGAAAAAAATATGCGTGGGACTTGGGTCGTGTACAGCAGGACAAAGAGAAACATCCAAAGATTTGCTGTGTGCATGTGATTTTATACCATGGACAAATCATAGACACTCCAATCATGACAAGGAGCCAGTAGCTTTGGCCTTCAGATAACCAAAACATCAAGTGGAAAATCCCTGCCTTGTGCATTGTTAGAAAGACAAGCTTAGGTTTAACCAAAATTGCTTACGAGAGATCAAAAGTGCAACAAAGTATTTGGGTGATAATAGTGAAATGGGGAGGCATAAACTTCAAAATAGATGTATACATTTCTGAATATTTTATTTACAATACGCACAAATCTTTACGTTTGTGTTGTATTGGCAAATCCCACTTACCCCACGCTAGTCAGTACAGAGTGGGGGATGAGCCTCTCCTTCTGAGGCTGAGAACTGTGTGTGGAGCCGTGTGTAAGCCTCCCCCACAGCAGGAAACTACCCATCCCCCACCCCCATCCCATCAGCCAGGGCTCATCCAGGACTCGGCTGGTTGTCCACTGTATCCTTTTGACTGTGGCAGAAGATTTACTATCATGGTGAGACAAAATCATGTCTTGTAGCTCTCACAGCGTAACAGAGACCCAGAGTAAACTTAGAGCTGTCATAAAGAAGACGAGCAGCCATTTTTGGGATCACCGTTTCTCCAGCACCTGCTACAGTTACATACCAACTAAAATGAAGGAGAGGCATGGACACAGTCTCCTCTTTTCTACACATTTTAAATGGCAGTAGATAAACATTCTTCCTTTGTGGTTGTTGTCATTGTGGCTAATAAGGTATAGATCTTTTATGAGACTTTCTGTGCTTTTATGTTTATCTCTGAGAAGGTCATTGCAGCAGAGGCAGAGGTAAATGCAAATTCTCAGGGGAGCTAGTCTGATTTTGTCTTTGTATAAAGCCATGTGAATGCTGTGGAAAATCTGGTTGTGTTGTTTATCCTGAGTACCAACACGATCCCAGACCTCTGCCTCTTTTGTCATTTTCTTCAAAGGGTAATACGAACATGTTAGATCAGGTGTAGCACATTCAGCGAGTTGAGACGGCACGTGAGAAGAAGGAGCAGAAAGTGGTTGTGGAAAGTGGCAACACGTACAGCACTCACACTCAAACCCGTGCGTATTTGTAAGGACTTCTATCAATAGCAGATTTGAAATGGGATTATAATTACCTTGGCTCTTTTGTTCATTTTCAGAGGTCTTTGTGAATGTTCCAAGCAACATGTCTACCATCTGTGCGAGTGAAGTTAACAAACGGATCAGAACATATTTTAGAAATGTAGTGGGTAGTATATCCAGGCTGCATATGGAGGAAGTCAGACCGGAGATTAGACAGTTTTATCATCGAGTTATCTCAAAAAGCCTTGGTGGTTGTTAGATTGTCATTTGTGCTGTCATGGTCATGACGTTTTCAATAGAAACCTCGTCATAGAAAGTTAGTTCTAATAACATAACCCAAACCCTGACCCTGACCAGAGGGATAACAAAAATCTATCAACATAAACAATTCATTCTTAAAATCAATTAAACATTCTCACATGATCATCTAACCTAGACCATAGCAAGCTCGCTGTAGTACATCCGTCTGCTCCAGCCCAGTGATGAGTGTGGGGAAGCAGATAGATGCCTGCTATCATAAACAATCTGCAGCTCGCAGATGGAAACAGGCTCTGTCGTGGTGTGGGCCATTTCCTGTGGCTGCTCCTTAGCCCTGGCCCCGATCCATCATGAGCCGAGAGAGAGAGAGAGAGAGAGAGGGAGGTGGAGGGGAGAGGGAAAGCTGTGCGACATGCTAACTAATTGCGCTTTTACAGATATATATTGCAATAAATGATAACACAAGGTTACACAGCACCCGTTTTACGACACAAAGCAGCACTGCACCAACTGATTTGAAAGGTAGCAACAACCTAGCAACCAAAGAGCCAATCAGAAGTGGCGCTGGTTTCACTATTTGCAATCCAAAGGCAAATTTGGGGATCGATATTGTATGCAGAGCCATGGCGTATCTGGATTTACAAAGACACTCACAAATCTGTCACACAGTTCTGCTAACATCTAACATATGTTTGGATATTATTATCTTTGAAGTCTGCCGATTTTGTGTGATATCTAGTCTTGGCTTGAACTTCTAGATTTAGGTATTTTATCATTGTAATGAATGTATTTGCCCAAGTGACATTTTTGAAGACATTGAGTTGAAGAGAAAATAACTCCCAAAGTAAAGGCAAGTTACTTTGGGTAGACTAACTGAAAAAAAACGAATATGCGTCATCAGGCCCTTTGACCACCACCAACATTCACGCATATACACCAGACTCATACAAGGCAATGGTTCTGAGATCAGGCGGACATGTTGGGGACGGAGAGTGTTGGACTTAGCTGTATATCTTGTGGGACTGCTTCAGGGCGCTGTGAATCTCCTCGCGCTCCAGCAGCTTTGTATCCATCCACAGCGTGATTAATTAAATCAATGAAAGCACGCACTGTTAGCAAATTACTTCGCAGGCAACATCGCCAAAAATAGCTCAGCCCAGCGAGGGGGCTACAGTTGACTTATGACTGCGGGCGTATCGCAGACCCAACGCGTTAGGGCTCCATCTATTTACACATGAAGGTAAACTCTTCATACTCTCCAAGGTTTTGATAATGTCTTTGAAAATCTAGAAAAAGACCTCAAAACTTATCAGCTGCCTTCTGATAGATCAGTGCCGTTCCTGATTGGCTCTCCATTAAACTTGGGGCCCACGAATAGAAATCAGTCCATTCCTCCCCCAAAGTAGTGGTCCCCATAGTGTTCCTTTACAATATGTGTTTTATTAGCTCAGTGTTTTTCAACCAGTGGGCCTTGAGATGTTTGCTATGCCTTTGGGAATGATCCAATATAACCTAATTGGTAAAAAATAATGTGAAAAGAAAATAATGTAGAAGATTAGCTTGTTTGATTTTATAGATAATAAACTTTGATGAAAGACTTATCATTATTCATATAAATCAGCTTTTCGTGTCAGCCCTGACAAACCCATATCGTCAACCCGTACAAATAACCTTACCAACATTCCAACTGGTCGTTCCAATACACAACACATAACCAAGTACACCGCCGTAGTGACCAGCAACCACAACCACAACAGCGGCGACGAAAGCACATTCACAGAACAAACTCGTCTTACCTTTTCACTCTTGACTTTCTTCAGTGTCTTGCATTCGCCGTTTTCCACTTCGTCCTGTTCCACCTTCAGCACTGGTACAATCCCAACCGTGTCATGTGAAATATTCCCCATCGGACTAGTGTCTTGCAGCTCCGCCGACTGCGCGCTCTCGAAGGCACGACTGTTCCCAAGAAGAGGCTCCTTCTCGTCTCCTTTATCCTTCTTACCTTTCCCCGTGTCCTTGTCCTTCTTCCCGCCCACCATCCCTCTGGAAGCCTTCGCCGTTTTCTCCACGCCTTTCGACGTCGAGTTGTTGGCGGCCACTATCGTCTCCGGTTGAGTCCTTGCCGCCGCGTCCTTCTTGGCCATGTCGGCGGACGCAGCTTTGTTGCTGTTCTCTTTGGAGTTCTTGCTGCGCTTGTACTTGGATTTGCTCTCTTTGCCCTGAGTCACTGGGCTGACGAAGCGAATGTTGTCAGGCAGCGACGCCACGGCATTGGCGGGTGCCGATAGTCCGTCCTTGGTGCCGGACATCTCTAGTTTATCTTTTTCCAAATCGGCGTCCAGGTCGATGATTAGATTCCCCACACCGATGTCCCACTCATCCCCGCTGTCGTAAGTGTCCACCGCGTTCGAGTCCACACCTGCTTTCCCGCCTGCAGTGCCACCACTTAGGGACATTTTAGTGCCAGCGGGCCAGGGGGATTGCCTCGAGGAGGTCCAGCAGCCTCGCGCTCGCTTGGGACTCCAGGGTCAGAGAAGGCTCACGGTCTGCAGGTCCCCGACCCATTGAACCACATAGTGTGCCTGCAAACAGACAAGGGACAGGTTAGACACAGCGTTCATTTGCTAATTTGGCTAATGCTAGTGTTTTTATTTTATTTTCATTTGATTTCTTGAGGGCTCGGGTGTCAGATACATACTAATACCACACAGATTACACCACATGGGGCTCAAATGGAGAAGGCAGAAGTATTAAGATGCTTATATGGGCCTTCCCCCGCAAACATACATTGGGTAAGATGATCATTATGGGGGACTGGAGATTTCTTCAGTTATTGAGTTCTAATATACGCACATACGCACTAAGTAGTTCTTCATTATCACATGTTAAAAGGGCATTACAGCACCACTTATTTAAAAGAACTGGTTAAACTAATCTGAAATAAATGGTGCCTGAGATACATGAAAAAAATCATCGTAGATAAATCCAGCTTTGTGTCAAGTTAAATTCTGAGTAACAGACCTCAACTGGCATGTCCAGGATTAACATCTGTTTCAATTGAACTCCCATGCATTTGTTTTTCCTCCGTGAACGTGGAGGCTGATAATCGGCACTGCTTGTTTTTCAGAGTCACTTGTGAAAACTGCCGCTCATCAATAATAAAGCAGCTTGAATCTACTTCCTAGTCCCTTTAGCTTATTTAGCTCAGAACAGTGCATTTTAAATACATGTTTAACACATGCTTTAATCATTTCTCAGTTATTTTCAATGCCATTTAATTTCGTACTGCTCTAAAGCAGTCGTCTCGGAGGACTTTACAAAGTTGTCGCATCGCCAACAACAGATCAGAGAATCCAACCGTTCGAACACAGGAAATGCAATAACAAGCCATTGGTCCGTAGGGAGCAGGCGGGCTGTAGATCCAAGAATCAGTCTGTAGAAAGAGGACTGAGGCTGTGTGTGTGCTGGAGCCTCCCTGTTCAGTCTCTACTCTCAACTATTTCAGAAGGCATTTCAAAAAACCTTCTCTCGAGACTTATGAGTATAAATTAATGGCCCAATGGTACCAACCACATGTTTTTCTCTTCCTTCTGGTTACACTACTTGCATACATGAAATTCAGAGTTTTGAAGTGTGCCAGCTCGACCTTGTACCCAATTTCTGTACTAGTATCTCGCAAACCAATTAGTCCTGCACACCAGAGCTACATTGCACCCGGGCAGGTCTCCAGCGGCCTCTCAAAAAGCACAGCCGAGTGCATAGTGAAGCAATAACATATTTATAACGCTACACGATCTTTTGTCATTTGTCCGCGTGACTGTACAAGCGGAGCATATTTAGTGGTCACAGACGAACAAGTGTTTTGATCCAGTGGCACGGAGCTGTGAGATCACCGCTGCGGCGCTCCAGGCTCTTCCCCATCCATAACCACTTTCTCGCGGTCGCCATGGTAACGGTGGAAGGCAGCCCTGGTGGCCCCTGCGCACTGACAGCCCGATAGCATCTCACGCCTGAGAAGCCTCGCTGTGCACCGCTCTGTGACACACGCAAGATCTGGTACATTCACACTATTCTGTCATTATGATGGCTTTAATGGGGCCCGTTTAGGCAAGTAGCACATACACAAGTCAAATTGCTGAACAAAACAATCATACAAGGCATTAAATCATAAATAATTACAGTACATTAAGCCTTTAATGGTTTCCCTCAACGAATAAGAATTAAATGTCTCCGAGTCCCAGTCCCAGTAGATCGGTGCCAAGCATGGTGAGTGACCAATGTTTTCTCTCGTCATACCAGGTCTCATATGGGCTTTGAATTTATTCAGTTCGGTCTCTTATACTTATTTTTAGCTTGTCTTTATATCTCCTCAGATCTGCTTGCCTTAAAGTGCTTATATACAGTGCTCTTCACCCACTGAGTCTTTTAAAAGTACTCTCGAATCCATGCTTCAGTATGCGCCGCTCTGTCTTTCTGCCACACAAAGATGCCTAAACAAAGATCCTCCTATTGGCTTCTGGTATTGGGACAAAGTGACGATTTCACAGCTCGTCTCACTGAGCACAAGTCCACACAACTGTATAGAATTACACTTTCAATCATGTGTTTTGTGGTAACAAAGTCACTCCAGGGAGGAGCAGAAGGGGGGGAAGGAGGGATGTTTTCTTTTAACTTTATCCTGCTGTGTTTGTGCATTAGTCCCTTGCTCACATTCGCACATTTTCCTTTGGGATCAATAAAATATTTATGTATCCATGTAAACTGCTGAATAAGATGTAACCCCCAATTTCACAATTTACTCCAGAAGCGCTCTATCTCTGACCTCTGACACCTCAATGGGCCGTAAGGGGTTACATACGTGGTTAATAATTGGAGGGGGAGGATTCAGTTTTCACTAGAGCTTGGAAAACCCACTGAGTGAGCGAGGGGGTTTGCATTGTTAATTGACTATATCCTTGCTCCACATCATTAAATATCTTTTGCATGTATGAAAAATCAGAGATTCAGCGGCAGGACTTCACTGTCGCTGAGGTATGAGGTATATAAATGGTTTCAGCAGATTGATCAGTGGGTGTTTATCACATCCATTTGAAAGAACTGTTTTCCAGCTCTGCACTGAGGCAGATGTAATGTTATGACACGATAAACACCACGTCCATCAGGTTTTCAGCTCAAAATCACGGTCTCTTGCACGGGCAGCAGTAAACACCGGCCTAGACACTGGGACATGCTCCTACTGAGGGACTTTACACAGAAAAGAGAACACTGGATAACTCTTCTAGACCAGCTCAAACAGTTTACAGCCTACATTTGTTTCATTAATTTGTTTCGGTTTTGTTAACCAAAACAATCATAGTTGATTTGGTTTAACGGTACCGCGGAAATTAAATGACACCTGCTGCTGCAGTTGAGCCTGTGTGAAAAACAAACGCTTTATGAAAAATGATATCTGCCAAAAGTGTGAATTTAGAAGATAATAGAACGGAATTGCATTTACTAATACTGTCACAATTATTGAGTAATATGTGACCCGGAACTTTGACAAATTACATGCCCTAAACCTCAGCTGGGGAAGGTGTTTGGAAATTAAACTAGGGAAACGCCTCAGGATTCCCCTGGATGAGCGAGAAGAAGAGTGCTGCTCCCTCTAACGGGCTACGAATAAAGCAGAAGAAAATGGATGGATGTCAAAGTTCCAAGATACTTTTTAAAGCGTCACATCCATATGTTTGAAAGTCTGTTGTAGGATATTGCTTAAGCCCAGATTGACCCAGTAAATTTATTTAATAAGGCCTTCTATTGGTTGATATGAACCCAGAATGACACTTTCACTCCATGTGACACAACAACATAATATATACAGTACACATTTTGAAAGGTGGTATTTCAGGGTGAAATTGACTATTTGATTAGGAAGAAAATTGGAGATTTCACCAATTGTTAAATCATTGGGAGTTATTGCCTCCACCACCCCAGATACTGGTTTGGCGTTTGGTACAAATGTTGGTCTAAGAAACCAGAGAGCTATCGTCCTAAAGTAAAGTGTGCCGACTCGACAGTAGTGTGAGGAGGAGGGCAGTGTGCAGTGTTTATCAGAGGCAGTACTCAAAGGTCAGCTCTTGTCTAATCTGTCAACACGCCTTTCCAACACAAACAACAGATGCATCTCAGCGGCACATCTCTGCGGAACAAACCGAGCTTCCGCATTGGCAGCAGCCTGGCGCTAACAACATGCCCAACTACAGCGGAAATGCCTTTACTCCTATCTGCCGATCTGCAAAAACACCTCAAACAAACACTCAGACATTGAGACATCACAAAAAGTCGACAGGAGCCAGCTTGGTCCTGACAATGTAGGCTTATTGGAAGCAAAAACTCCAGTCTCTCACCAAAAATAGACCTGAAGTAACTCCATTTGCAATCTTGACATTTAACAAACCCGTCTTTGTCCCTAAAAGGTCAGAAATGAATCATAATTTTTTATGAGGGCTGTAACAAGTTATTGCAACCAATCAATTATTGAAATAAATGGCACAAATGTAATCCTGACTAAATTCATCAATGACTCATTGATGAATTGCCTTTTTAACCACACATTTCAACAGGCTAAGAAGTTTTCTGACTCATAATTCTATAATGACTCTGGAATGAAGTTAAAATGTGTTTCAATCAAACTGCTATAAACCAACACCACATCTCTCCTGGGGACAATGAACACACTCAAATATTCAGCTCAAGATTCAATATAAATGTATTATGTCCTCAAAGAAAATTTGTCTTGGACTCTCAGACTACTAAGTTAGTAAGGAAGGAATCTTTATTGATATAGCGCCTTTCGCAGACCAGAGTCAAAGAACTTTACAATTGTTGATTGTTGTTGACAATTGATGATCCACCCGCAAGAGTAGAAAATCCTCCTTTAAACCAAAAATGTTGATTACACTTTCCTAATGTCACAATTAGGAGTGTGACAATACATCGATATGGTGATGTATCGTGATACTTTCTCACACAATCGATTATCGATATGCTTTTGCTAAGTATCGATTGAAAAAAACCCAAATACAATTTCTGTAGAATGATCGTATTTTATTGGATGTGAGACAGATGAAGTTTTTACTAAAATGTGCAGGTTAAAAGGCATTTTTGCTTGTTCACTTTAATGTTACACATGACACTTTATCCATTTATCTTGAAATAGAGTGTATTTTTTCACTTAATTTATGCCATAAATACAGTATAAGAAAACATGATCATATATGTATATAGGTATATTTTTGACCCATATATCAATAATCGCTGCATCGTCATATCGTCAGATAATCGTTGTGAGCTTTGTATCGCACATCGTATCGTATTGTGAGGTACACTGAAGTTCCCACCTCTAGTCACAACATAGTTACATGATTAAGCAGCATGGATTTTCAGATTTTAGGGACATACCTTATTAACCCATTACTCTAAGATGGTCGAGTCTATAAGGTTCTCCCTGCTTTGGTTATTGGGAGTGCTTACAAAACTCTGCGCGTGTAAACAAAGAAACAGGGCAGAGTCTTCCAAGAGTAAGTAGTTAATCCGATGGGCAGGACTGAGCGGCTGGAGGTGAAGAGCTCTGTACAGTCAGGATTAGAACAGGGGTTAAGAGCGATTGCACCAGCTCCACAAGAGGTCAGGCGGTCTCCCCAACCCCAAACAGGCGAGTTTCAATTAAAGCTGGGGTACCTAACTTTCAAGCCATAAACATTCCATTCCATAAAAGATCTCACAAGTTCCTTTGTGCCAGGTTTTGCAGTTAGAAATGAGAGAAAGAGGACAGACTTCACTCAGTCAGCCTAAAGAGACAAACAATTGTATTATAATGTATTATTAGTATCATTATTATGTATTTATTATTTATTATTTCAAGTGTGTAAAAAATAACATGTTTTCTAATATAAGGCATCATTATCATAAATAGGTGAAGACCCACCTGTAAAATTGTTACAAATATTTAACTTGTGGTACCTTGCCTTTTACCTATAGACATTTATCATGCGGGGCGTCACTGCTACAGTAACTCAGTTGGTAGGGCACAGGTCTTTGGCGCTAATGGTTGTGGGTTCGAGCCCACCACAACCCATGTCACCTGCTCCCACTGATGTCTGCTGTCGTTGTGTCCTCCTTGGGCAAGACAATCAACCCCACTGAAAGATCAAGGCCATCTCGTTGATGACAGAGAAGCCATCTTCTCTGGACCAATGTGTTTGTTATTATTGGATGCCCTACAATCGAACAGTTTGATGTGTGTGTGTGTGTGTGTGTGTGTGTGTGTGTGTGTGTGTGTGTGTGTGTGTGTGTGTGTGTGTGTGTGTGTGTGTGTGTGTGTGTGTGTGTGTGTGTGTGTGTGTGTGTGTGTGTGTGTGTGTGTGTGTGTGTGTGTGTGTGTGTGTGTGTGTGTGTGTGTGTGTGTGTGTGTGTGTGTGTGTGTGTGTGTGTGTGTGTGTGTGTGTGTGTGTGTGTGTGTGTGTGTCAGAGAGTGTGCATGGGAGCGTGTGTGTGTTTATCTGTGGTTTGGGATGGGTCTGTTGGGTGGTCGGGGGGAGGGGACATGGGCCGGCGGGATTGTTTTTAACCAAACTGTAAAGCACTTTGTGTTGCATCTTTTGTATGAAAAGCGCTTCATAAATAAAATTTGATTGATTGATTGATTTCAGGTAGCTCCCCAAAACGAATTAGATTTTAACAATTGATAGTGAAATAATACATTGAGTCTTCACATATCTATTATAAGTATGAATAGAGGGTAATACCGTATTATGATATATTCATGTGTTCTCTATGTATTGTTGTAGCAATTATATGGATTTTGTATTAAAACTGCACAATGGAGTAGCTCTCAGCCTCTTTTGTTGCATAAAAGTAGCTCCCGGATTGAAAAAGGTTGAGTATAGATTATTTCCCTGAGTGTTACAATCACTTGGCATCAGCCTTTTCAAACCCCCACATTCATATTTCCACTTGTAG